GGCTTGGTTGTGGGGGACGGGCTGGGCTGGGGGGACGGGCTCGGCAGGAGGAGGGGACACACAGGCTCGGCTCGGGGACAGGCTCAGAGGGTGCCTCCCTCACTCGGCTGTCGCGGGACCCTCCCCTCACCCTGCTGGTTGGTTCCTGCAGGACCCTGTCCCGGAATCTGGTGAAAAACGCCAAGAAAACCATGGGGCGGCAGTACATGACCCGGAAGAAGTACAACCCCCCGAGCTGGGAGCAGCGGGGCCAGCCACCCCCCGAGGACCAGGAAGACGAGATTTCTGGTGAGGCGAGGTTCCGGGGGCTGATGACCCGGTGCGCACTTATGTGTCTGTCTGGTGGGGCCTGTAGTCTCTGGTGCTGACTCGGGGTTGTAAGTGTGCAGGTGGGCTTGGTGGGCAGGACAGGTGGTCCTGGTGCTGACTGTGAGTCGGGGGTGGGTGGTCCCCAGTGTCAGATGAGCTGGAGCCCAGCACCCTGACGCCCACGTCAGCCCTGAAGCCCTCGGACCGCATGACCATGAGCAGCCTGGTGGAGCGGGCGTGCTGCCGGGACTACCAGCGGCTGGGCCTGGGCACGCTGGGCAGCAGCCTGAGCCGGGCCAAGTCGGAGCCCTTCCGCATTTCCCCGGTCAACCGCATGTATGCCATCTGCCGCAGGTGAGCCAGGTGCCACGGGCTGTGGGTGCAAGGGAGGGCTCCCTGCAGAACCCTGGTGGCCTGAGGCCTTGACATGGGGTGCAAGGGGATGGGGGAGCGGCTAGGATGTGGACGCATGGGGGATGGAGCCCCTGCACCCCCTATAGTGCCTGACCCCCTCCCTCCCGCAGCTACCCTGGCCTGCTGATCGTGCCCCAGAGCGTCCAGGACAACGCCCTCCAGCGTGTGTCCCGCTGCTACCGCCAGAACCGCTTTCCTGTGGTGTGCTGGCGCAGCGGGCGCTCGAGGGCTGTGCTGCTGCGCTCGGGGGGCTTGCACGGCAAAGGCGTCGTAGGCCTCTTTAAGACGCAGAACGCACCATCTCCAGGTACGTGTCCCGGCCACCTCAGCCTCCCCCCTCCCGATCTGTCCTGTCCTCTCCTCCACCCTCCTCTGATAGCCACTGGCTGGGTAGCAGGCTGGCCTTATGCCCACACAGCATCCTGTCTTCTGCAGGTCAGTCCCAGGCTGACTCAAGTAGCCTGGAGCAGGAGAAGTACCTGCAGGCTGTGGTCAGCTCCATGCCCCGCTACACAGATGTCTCGGGTCGCAACACCCTCAGTGGCTTCTCGTCCACCCACCTGGGCAGCCACGGTGAGGGCTCCTCAGGGAGCGGGAGATGTCGGGGTATAACCCACCTGGCCCCAGTGCCTGCTCACCCAGCATCAGTGGCACATGGAAGTCATTCCCCTCACGGCGACTGTCGGGTCCCCTTCCTGCTCCTCCGAGACGCTGCTGCCTCTGCCCAGCCTCAGATGCTGAACCCTGTGCCCTCCCTGATGGTACAGGCTCACGGGAAGCAGACACAGACCTCAGGGTCACTGCTGACCCTCAACCACAATCCCTTACACCTTGCTAGCAGTGTTCTCTCAGCCTCATGGCTCTTCTAGTCCTAGCACTCAGCCTCTCCCCAGAGTCTCACACTGGACTTTAAGACCACAGCCAGTTGACTGTAGCACCTGCAGGCCTCAGCAGCAGTCCTCTAACCCCTGCCCTGGCCAGCCAGAACACTGTGCAACTACCACTGTCCTCTGGCTCAGACCCAGCCTGAGGTCTCTGCTGGGGTCAGCAGCCAGACCACTCCCAGGCAGGGCAGGCATGGGCCCAGTCTCAGTGTCCACTGAGGGACACCCCAGTGACAGCGACACAGTACTGTAGGCAGACATGGGGTCAGGTCCTCAGGGGTGACTGGCCCACAAGGATGCTGGCTCTGTGGCACCTGGTACCAACAGTGCCATCCTGTGAGGGTTTCTGAAGAACACACGGTAAATACAGCCTCAATTTGTCCTGACATGGAGTGTCAGGAACCACTATCCCCTTGCTCCAGGTGACCCCACAGTAGAGGTCACCTTGGCCTTCTCTCTGCTTGCCCCCAGCGCCCAGTCCCCGAGCCAGGGTCACCACGCTGTCCAACCCCATGGCAGCCTCGGTCTCCAGACGGACGGCACCCCGAGGTACCGTACCAGGCCACCCGGGCGGGCCTACTGCCGGCACTAACTGCCCCCTCGGCTGGGCACTAACTGCCCCCCAGTGACAGGGCGGTGGCACCGCTCTCCTAGCAGCCTGCCTGCCCACACTCCAGCGCTGAACTTCCTCCTCACCTCTCAGCCGTCTCAGCCCACCTGTGTTACCTGTCTCATCCCGCAGGGAAGTGGGGCAGCATCCGGGCCAGTGGACGCAGTGGGGGCAGCAGTGGCATTGGTGTGGACGTGGGCTCCCGGTTGGCAGGGAGAGATGTGCTAGGTGCTCCCCAGCCCAATGGGGCGCCCCCCGACCCAGGCTTCCTTCGACCACACCGTGCAGCTCTCTACATCATTGGGGACAAGGCACAGCTCAAGGTGAGAAGCGACAGGGTGAAGGATTGGGGACCACACGTTAGTGGAGCTCAGCTCTGGGGTATGGGGTCAGCATGGGGTGGACTGGGGCATTGAGGGGTGAGCCCTGGGGTGTGAACTGGGGGCATGGATTGGTGTGTTCAGGGTGGGAGTGGAGGAGTGGCAGGGGGACCACCGGCATCCCTACTTACTCGGCCCCCAGGGTGTGCGTCCAGACCCCCTGCAGCAGTGGGAGCTGGTGCCCATTGAGGTCTTCGAGGCGCGGCAGGTCAAGGCCAGTTTTAAGAAGCTGTTGAAGGCTTGCGTCCCAGGCTGCGCGGCTGCTGAGCCGGGCCCCACCTCCTACCTGCGCTCGCTGGAAGACTCAGAGTGGCTGAGCCAGGTCTCCTCGCGGCCCTCGGGGTGCAGAGGGAGGATGGGTGCTGAGAAGCCAGAAGGGTAGAAGTGGGGGCTGGGTATGAGTCTGACAACTTGGTCTCTAAGATGGGAAGGGGTGACTGCAAAGCCAGGCAGACATGGGCATCTGTCACGGGGTGGGGCCTGGAATTGGGAGGACAGAAGTACATGTCGAGCCAGCTCGTCCTGAGTCTACCCAGAGTGGTGTTGGAGCACTGTGGTGGCCTGGCTCAGGTCAGGGCAGTAGGTGCCGGTAAGGGTTGGGCCGTGTGTGTGTGTGGGCCAGGCTGAGCTCATGGGGGTCCCCCCAGTGCTGTGAGGTGAGGTCAGTGAGCATCAGGTCAGGAGTGTGGCCTGAGCATGGGAGAGTGGGGCTGGGTTCTGCTTCTCTTGAGTAGAGAAGGTGTCGCCCTTGGGTGGAGGGGTCACGGGGTCATACCCGCAGATCCACAAGCTGTTGCGAGTGTCAGTGCTGGTGGTAGAGCTGCTGGACTCGGGCTCCTCTGTCCTGGTGAGCCTGGAAGACGGCTGGGACATTACCACGCAGGTGTGCCGGCACGGGCCGTAGGGGGCGTGGGCTTGGGATCAGGGGGTCCATGGAGGCCTGAACTCACCTGCAGGGGCCTCTCCAGGTGGTGTCGCTGGTGCAGCTGCTGTCAGACCCCTTCTACCGCACCCTGGAGGGCTTTCGGCTGCTGGTGGAAAAGGAGTGGCTGTCCTTCGGCCACCGGTTCAGCCATCGTGGGGCCCACACACTGGCTGGGCAGAGCAGTGGCTTCACCCCCATCTTCCTGCAGTTCCTGGATTGTGTACATCAGGTGGGAGTGGGGTAGGTTGTGGGACCCCAACTGACCGCGGTAGGCCCTGACCGACCACAGCGGGCCCTGACTGCGTGGTGTGGCCGCAGGTCCACCTGCAGTTCCCCATGGAGTTTGAGTTCAGCCAGTTCTACCTCAAGTTCCTCAGCTACCACCACGTGTCCCGGCGCTTCCGCACCTTCCTGCTGGATTCGGATTATGAGCGCATTGAGCTGGGTAAGGGGGCGCTGGGCGAGGAGGGGGCATTGAGCTGGGTAAGGGCGCTGGGCGAGGAGGGGGCATTGAGCTGGGTAAGGGCGCTGGGCGAGGAGGGGGCATTGAGCTGGGTAAGGGGGCGCTGGGCGAGGAGGGGGCATTGAGGGCGGGGTTCTGGATGGGGAGAGGGCAGGGGTGTGAGGGCATGTTGGGCTGACGAGCACTGGGCAGGGAGTCTGGTGGCCCACTCAGCACTGTGCCCCTCAGGCCTGCTCTACGAGGAGAAGGGGGATCGGAAGGGCCCGCAGGCCTGCAGGTCTGTGTGGGAGTACGTGGACCGGCTAAGCAAGAAGACCCCAGTGTTCTACAACTACATGTACGCGCCCGAGGACACAGAGGTCAGCGCAGGCCCGAGGTGGGTGGGGGTGTGGGAGAGAGAGGCAAAGAGGGCCCGCTTGGCCTGTCCTCAGTGAGTGTCCCCTGCCAGGTCCTGCGGCCCTACAGCAACGTGTCCAACTTGAAGGTGTGGGACTTCTATACTGAGGAGACCCTGGCTGAAGGCCCCCCCTACGACTGGGAACTGGCTCAGGGTCCCCCGGAGTCACCCGAGGAGGAGCGGTCAGATGGAGGGGCACCCCAGAGCAGGCGCCGTGTCGTGTGGCCCTGTTACGACAGCCGTCCCCGGGCCCAGCCCGATGCCATCTCACGTCTGCTGGAGGTGGGTGCCCTGGTGGCCGGTGATCTGTCTGCTGGCCTGAGGTGGCCCTGTCCCCCACCCTCCTCAGTGCCTGGTGTCCTGTCTTTCCCCTGTGGGTGCTCCCCAGGTGGTGGTGTAGTCTGAAGAGCGTCTGCTGTGGAAAGGCCGCTGATTCCTCCCTGCAGGGAGGTGGTGTGGTGGTGATGGCAGTCACACAGCTCTGTCTGGGCACCTGTCACTTCTGAGCAGGGTGGAGCACGCCCTTATCTCTGGTGATACTCGTCCCCGTTTGTGTGAGTGTGCACGGCACGTGTCTGGTATGCTTCAGCATTAGTGACGCTGTCTTTAGTTGACTGTTGTTTTCAGGGAACACGGTGACGTGCTACATCGTGTTCACATGCACTAGCTTCTCTAGGAAACACTGTGCAGCCTCCTTGAAACCGACGGGCGGGGTACTGCGAGTTAGCGGCCAGTTCTGTGGCCTCTGCTTTCTTGAACTTAGTGTGGAGCTGGGCCTCCAACTTGTGGCTTCTCGTAGGAGGTACCGATTAGAGCTGTTGTTACTGGGCGCCGTCAAGGCAGCTACAATGAGAGAGTGTGCAGCAGCCTCAAGTCTCCACCTCAAACCTCACTATTCAAATCACTGGGTCACTCCCTTTTGCTGAGGACCTTTCTCCCAATGAATTACCTTTTCTTTCCTAGCATGAGGTCTTTTTCCAAAGACTGGAACCTCCTAAGAACATGCACAGAGTGTGTGAGAGTAGTTTCACCATCCTTCCCCCACAGGAGTACTGTTTAAACTCGTCCAAGACAACTTCTGTTAGTCCACAAATGGTCCTCCCCTCCAACTGCACAGCTCAGAGGCTTTGACTTCTCTTCTGTCATCCTTATTCCTTGTCCGACTTGGACATGCAGAGATGGCTTGGATCAGGCACCGTTTTGACTGACGTCACTGCTCTTTAGCACTCTGGAATGGATTCCCCAATGCAGCACATCTTTTCATCTCTTCACTGATTTCAGGAAGTACCATCTGAGCAAGAGTCAGTGGTAACAAGGCAGCACTCAGGCTGCACTGAAGGCACTGGCCAAAAATAAGACCCAAGGAATCAATAGGGGAACAAGGGATAGGTTTCAGTTGACAGAGGCCGTTCTGGACATGCTCACTAGTCTGTGCCAGCAGATTGGGATGACAGCTGGCTAGATGAATGACTGATTAGAAGAGATCCGTATTTCTTCCTTTCCCAAGAAAGGTGATTCAATAGAAAGGGACAATTATCGAACAGTATTGATTATCCAAAAACGATTAGAACAGCACATCAGCAGAGAACTGCCGGAAGTCCAGGCTGGGTTTAGAAGGGGTCGTGGTATAGGGATATTGTTGCTGATGTTAGATGGATCTTGGCTGAAAGCAGAGAATACCAGAAGAATGTCTATCTGGGTTTCATTGATTATGCAAAGGCATTTGACTGTGTGGATCATAACAAACTGTGGCTGACTCTGAGAAGAATGGGAATCCCAGAACATTTAATCGTGCTAATGTGAAACCTATACTTGGACCAAGAGGCAGTAGTCAGAACAGAGCAAGGAAACACTGCATGGTTCAAAATTGGGAAGGGTGTACGCCAGGGATGCATCCTGTCTCCATACCTTTTCAGCCTGTATGCAGAACAGATTATCCGAGAGGCTGGGCTCTATGAGGAGAATTGTGGCATCAGGATTGGTGGAAGATCTATTAACAATCTGCGTTACGCAGATGACACAACCCTGCTCGCTGAAACTGAGGAGGACCTCATGCACTTGCTGCGAAGGGTCAAGGACTGCAGCCTTCAGTATGGACTGAGGCTCAATATCAAGAAGACAAAGATTCTCACCACTGGACCAATAGGCAGCGTCAGGGTGGATGACGAAGAGATTGAGAGTGTTCACAGCTTCAGTTTGCTCGGCTCCACAGTCAACACTCTTGGCACCAGCAGTCAGGAAATCAAAAAGCGTATCCCGATGGGAAAGTCTGCTGTTAGGGACCTCTCTAAGGTACTCAGGAGCGACAGTGTCTCTCTGGAGACTAAGGTGCGCCTGATACAGGCCATGGTATTTGCAATCGCTTGTTATGCATCAGAGACTTGGACAATGACTAGGAAGGACAGAAGGAGAGTGGATGCTTTTGAGCTGTGGTGCTGGAGAAGAGTACTGAATGTACCCTGGACTGCCAGGAAAACAAACAGATTTATCTTGGAGAGGATTAAACCAAGCTGCTCCTTGGAGGCAAGGATTCTGGGGCTTCGTCTGACATACTTTGGACATGTTGCCAGGAGGGACGGGTCCTTGGAGAGGGACATCATGCTTGGGAGGGTTGAGGGACAGCGCAGGAGGGGAAGACCCTCTATGAGATGGATTGATTCAGTGACTGGGGTAATCGGGATGGGTGTGTCAGAGGCGGTGCAGTTGGCGCAGGATAGAGCAGGGTTTAGGGCTGTTGTGCATAGGGTCGCTATGAGTCGGAAACGACTCGACGGCACATAACAACAACATAATTAATTAATATACGTAAGCAAACTACTGCTAAAGATCATTTAAAAAGGTCTAAAACAGTACATAGATTAAGAGCTGAATTAATCTGTGGCACCAGGGATATATATCACTGCTGATGTCAGATGAATCCTGGCTGAGAGCAAACAATGAAGAACGTCTCTTTGTGTTTTATTGACGATAAAGGCATCTGACTGTGTGGATCAGTAACAAATAATTGTTATCATTGAGAACGGGAATTCCACAACACATAATTGTGCAAAAACCTATACCTGGACTAAGACTGTATGAACAGAGCAAGGGAACACTACAAAGTTTAAAATTGGGAAAGGTGTGCATCATGGTTTATAGCCTTTCTCCGTACCTATTTAATCTGTATGTTGAACAAATAATTCGAGAATCTGCACTCTGAGGAAGAATGTGGCCTTAGGATTGGAGGGAGACTCATCAGTAACCTTCGCCAAGCAGATGACACACCTTGCTTGCTGAAAGTGAGGAGGACTTGGAAGTGCTTACTGCAGAAGCTCCAACACTGCAGCCTTCAGTGTGGATTGCATCTAGAGAACAAAAAATTTTTAAGGAAAAAATTCTCATCATTGGACTGATAGGCAGCATCCTGATAGATGGCGATCAAAGTTGTCAACAATTATATCTTACTTGGATCTACAGTCAACACCATTGGTTCCAGCAGTCGGGAGATGAGGAGACGTATTGCACTTGGAAAATCTGTAGTGAGGGACCTCTCCAAATTATTGAGAGACAAATGATGGCCGTTTGAGGACTAAGGTGCCGTTGATACAGGCTAGGCTATGGTCTTTCCAGTCATTTGCTATGCATTTGAGAACTGGGCAGTGAATAAGGATAGACAGGAAAAGAACTGATGCCTTTGAGCTGTAGTGTTGGAGAAGAGCACTGAACATCCCATGGATGGCCAAGACAAACGGATACTTCTTAGAGAGGGTTGAAGATTGAGTTAACGATGATCAGGCTTCGTCTCACATACTTCTGGCATGTGGCTAGGAGATGCAGTTCCTTGGAGGAGATCAACATGCTTGGTAAGGTGGAGGTGTCAGCAGAGAGGAAGACCTTTAACCAGGGGGATTGACAGTTTCTGCCCCAGTGTGTTCTAGTCTGTCAGGAAGTGTTAGGATGGCACAAGACAGGACATGGTTCTCATACGTTGTTCATAGGATCGCTATGGACCGTACTTGGCAGCACTTAACAACTGTCATGGAGCTCTGGTTGCTTAATGGTAACGTAGCTGAACTGCCGACCCAAAAACACACAGTTCAACTACACCAGCTGCTTTGTGAGAGAAAGATGGATAGTGTTGTCCCACATGATTGCTCTGAAAACCCATGAAGGGCCAGCTAAGTGTCACTTACAACTTGAAAGTACATAATAACTATAGCTATCATGGGGATCCATGTAAAAAGAAGTATCTGACAACTTCACTCTTTTGCCTACTGGTCTAGTTGTAAGGGTTTTTGTTTTCTTGATCTCAAAAGCTGTGGTCTTTGATCTGAGTCAGTGTTCCATGTCCACTTTCTGCGAGCCAGGCTGTGTCATCTGCATAATCTGTCATCTACAAGCTGCTGTGGAGTCTCCTCCAGTCTTGATGCCACATTCTTCAGAGTCCAGTTTCTTGAATTGTTTTCCCAGTAGACAGATGGAATAGGTTTGGAGAAAGGATACAACCCAACTACACACCTTTCCTGTTCTCCAAAGTTAACTGAAGAGCAATGGTGTCTCTCTGGAGACTAAGGTGCGTCTGATACAGGCCATGGTCTTCGCAGTCACCTGTTATGCATCAGAGAGTTGGACAATGACCAAGGAGGATAGAAGGAGAATTGATGCCTTTGAGCTGTGGTGCTGGAGAAGAGTATTGAGAATACCATGGACTGCTAGGAAAACAAACAGATTTGTCCTGGAGAGGGTTAAACCGGGTGGCTCCTTGGAGGCAAGGATTCTGAGGCTCCGTCTAACATACTTTGGACATGTTGTGAGGAGAGACCAGTCCTTAGAGAGGGACATCATGCTTGGGAGGGTGGAGGGACAGCGCAGGAGAGGAAGGCCCTCTATGAGGTGGATTGATTCGGTGACTGGGATAATCGGGATGGGAGTGTCAGAGACAGTGCGATTGGCACAGGACAGAGCGGAGTTTAGGGCTGTTGTACATAGGGTCGCTATGAGTCGCAAGCAACTCGACGGCACATTAACAACAACAACATGGCTAACTGCTTTCCGGGTGATAAAACACAGGTTACATCTTTCTATTCTCTGTTTTCAGCAGACATCAGCTATGCTATGCCTAGTTGCATATGTTCATCTGAATCTGATTTGAACTTCTAGAAACTTGCTGTTAATCTCTAGCTGAATTTTGGAATTCAGTGAAATCTTGCTAGCAGTGATATGAATGATATTCACCAACGTCCATTTTCGGTGGAAGCAGCCCATCCATGGATTCTTTCCAGTAGTGTAGCCACATTTTTTTGTCTTGCAGATTTCTGGCCATTTACACGTGAGCACTTCCAGCATTGCACTTAATCTGAAACCTCTATCTCAGCAGAGACCCATCAGTCCTAGAGCCTGGTCTTTTCAGTGCGGCTTGAGTGTCTTCTCAGTTCCAGCACTTCTCCAGTGTCCTACCTTCTGAAATGGCTGACCACCAACTCTTTGTATTCCGTTTATCTTCCCCTCCTCCTTTGATAACAAAATGCTTGCTGTTTCAGTACTCCCCACATGACAGTAACCATGCTCCTGATGTTACCAGCCACCATCTGGATGGTCCCTGCGCCCAACATTCTGTCTAGACTCCACTACTGCCCTTCAGAGGCGGTTCAGAGTCTGTTGTTGGTTGCCGTCGAGTAGGACCCATAAGGAACCTGTGACCAGCAGCTTTGACCTGTGTCCCATCCTCATCATTTGAGCCTCCCCTAAACACTGTTAATGTGCCTTCCAATCTCTTGAAACTCAATAGGGACCCTATGTACAACAGCCCTAAACCCTGTTCTATCCTGTGCCAATCTCATCATCTCCAACCCACCTACCCCATTACCCGAGTCACTGAATCAATCTGTCTCATGCAGGGTCTTCCTCTTCTGTGCTGTTCCTCCACACTCCCGAGCATGACGTCCCTATCCAAGGACTGGCCCCTCCTTGCAGCATGTCCAGACTACGTCGTCAGACGGAGCTTCAGAATCCTTGCCTCCAAGGAGCAGTCTGGTTTTACCCTCTCTTAGACAAACCTGTTTGTTCTCCTAGCAGTCTACGGTACATTCAATACTCTTCTCCAGCACCACAGCGCAAAGGCATCTGTTCTCCTTCTGTCATCCCTAGTCATTGTCCAGCTCTCTGACATGGTCTGGAACAGGCACACCTTAGTCTCCGACTGACCTCATTGTTGTTCGGTACTCTGGAGAGGTCTCTGACAGATTTTCCCAGTACAATTTTGTCTTTTGATTTCCTGGCTGAAAACCCTTCTTTGAGAGTTCTGACGGGCTAGTGGTAAGAAGTTGCATTGCAGTCCTACAGGCATACGGTTTGAACCCACAGCTACTCCATGGGAGAAGGAGGGGCAGTCTCCTGTGTGATTTACTTCCTCTGAAAACCCACTGTAGGGTAAGCAGTTGGTTGGTTCTGACTCAGTGGGACACAACCACAGTTTTTCACTTCACTTTTTAACTCCAGAATTTTGGTGGGGTTTTTTCTTCTAAAATCTGTCTTTATTGATACTGTCCAGTGTTTTATAATTTAGTTCTTTGAACATATTTACATAGTTACATAATGTCGTTGTTAACTTTAATGCTTTTGCTGCCCTAGTAATTGTTGTTCATGGTCTCCCCATGAATAGACCATACTTTGACAGCTTTGCTTTATGTCCTGTATTTTTCTGGAGAATTGACCATTTTGAGTTACTCTGTGGTTGTGAATCTAGTCCCCTATGCACGGTTGGTGGTCCTCTCCTTGTTGAGAGCCCAAACTGTCTGACTTTTCTAAAGCGTGTCATCCTTGTTTTGTCTGATAGTTACGTGTTTTTCTCTGTCATGACCTGGGAAGGATTTCCTTAAATGTCTGACCACTAGAGGAGGAACGGGGATAAAAAGTCGTTGCTTTCAATCCCCTTGAAGCAGGGAAATGGTTTCAGTGGGCACTCTAAGTGCTGGTTCTTCAGCAGTCAGTACCCTAAGTCCTCCTCACCCACCTGACCCAGCAAGCTGCAGTGGGCACTCCGGGGACCTCAGGTGGTGCCTGCCACGGGTTACTAGTCCCTGCCTGTCCCTGCACCTCCCTCGTCTGCTGCTCTTGTTTCTTTGTCATTTCATCTGGTGAGGGCTTCCTCTATTTCACTGGCCTCTTAAATCACTGACACTTAACAGCCCCTCTATTCAGATCGGAACTGCCTGTTCCTTGTTCACTTGGGTAGAAGCACAAGCTCCTGACCTGGCCATCTTCTTTATTTCCATCACCTAAGTTTTAAAGAAAACAGATTTATCCTGGAGAGGGTTAAACCAGGCTGCTCCTTAGAGGCAAGGATTCTGGGGCTTCGTCTGACATACTTTGGACGTGTTGTAAGGAGGGAGAGGTCCTTGGAGAGGGACATCATGCTTGGGAGGGTGGAGGGACAGCGCAGGAGGGGAAGACCCTCTATGAGATGGATTGATTCAGTGACTGGGGTAATCGGGATGGGTGTGTCAGAGACAGTGCGATTGGCACAGGATAGAGCAGGGTTTAGGGTTATACATAGGGTCACTATGAGTCGCAAGTGACTCAATGGCACATAACAACAACAGGAAGGGCTTTTTCTTTTTAAATTTTTTTTTAAATTTTTATTTTTTTTATTATTTTTGTGTGAGTGTACCGTCAAATCAGATCTGACTGGTATAGTAGGAGATTGCCCCTCCTTCCCCAGCAGAGCATCTGGTGGATTTGAACCGTGCGCCTCTGGGATTGTAGTTGCAGCTCCTTGCCACTAGGCCACCAGAGCTCCCCTGATTTAGTTATTTTTTTTTTTAGGGAGTTTTAAAGAAATGGCAAAGAGTCTTGGATTCCTGGTCTGACTCATACTTTGCATGCAGATAGGAGTTTCCACATGGGATTGTTTCCCATGTGCTGAAGGACTTGTACCATTTCCTACAAATCCAGGGTTATGGTTACGGTTGAAGTCCCTCCTAGTTCGGGGCATCTGACAAAGGCCTTTTCCTTCCTCTCCCTGATGGTGGAACTGGAGGGTGGGGGTGACATCCCATAGGTGGTCGTGTGGTCACAGGGTCAGGGACAGGGTCTGTGGAAATCAGTCCAGTTTGGTGGTCACACTGCTTCTTGAATGTGTGGTCTCATGTCTTTTAATCAGTTTTGCAGTTTCTAGATGCTGTGTTGCTAAGTGCCCACCCATTCTCTGTATGTTCACACATACACACACCAAGAGACACAGCACACACACATCTCCTCACACTGAGACACCTGGGCACACATACACCCACACCAAGACATTCAGATAAACACACACACACCCACAAACACTCCCACACTGAGACCACCCCCATATGTACCCCACACAGACGGACACCACCACATATAACAATACACCCCCTTCCCCGGAGACACACATCACTCACATTGGTAGAGCTTCTCCAGTCTTTGTGTCCTACTCTGGGTGTTTTCTGCTAGCTGTCAAATTTTGGGTTAGCTCTGACATCCTCTCTCTGTCGAGTTCTTGGTTTCTAGTTGTATTTTCAACTCTGTTTTGTTCACACAGTGATGAAGTTTGTTTTCATTATGCAATCTTAACACGTACTTAACTGTCAAGATAAAAAATAAAAACCAGTTTGTAAAACAGGACCATTCTCATGCTATGACAGCACAATAAACAGTCCTCTTGATGACTGTAGGACATGTAAGGCTTTGTGGTAGCATTCAGAAGCACCTGGATGGTAATGAAGGTTTTGACATTTGCAGTTAATCATTAAAAAGTTACTTGTATGAAAGTGCTCGTAGACCTGTAGGATAGCATTGACAGAGCCATCGTTTCCAGATCCTTGGGGAGCTGAGCGTCTGCCCCCCAGGTAACTGCCTCTTTGGGTCACTTCAGTGATGGTGCCTTTGGTAGTAACACCCAAGGTGGTACCTGGTGGGGATGAAGGACTCTTCTTTACACCAAGCCTTGGGAGGCAGAGTGTGGCTGGAGGGTCAGGATTTGTTACACGTGTCTTTTTTAAACATAACCCCATTGGTCCAATGAATCTTCCGTATGTAGGGTTCGTGTACAGCCATCTCTGACAGCAGCCTTCCATAACCTTCCTCTTGCACGCGTTCTGCTGTCTTATTCCTGTTCCAATACCTTGTAATACTTCTGCTTCTGCTGGGGCACAAACTTTAGGTAGAAGGACTTCTGGTTTTCTCTTTTGTAAACTCTTTTCAGAAAGTTCTTTAGTTTGGGATTGCACCTATTTGTAGTCCCAATAGGGCAGCAAAGCCCCTGGGCACAAAGCAGCTTTCAGCTTTTGGGTCTCTGAGACCTACAGGCCACCTCCACGCAGCCCCTATATTGTCAACTTTTTAATCTCACTTGCTTCTTTTTAGCAGTTTTTTCTCCAGAGACTCAGTTTTGCTTTAAAATCTTTCAAAGTGCTGATCATGGTTTATTCTGAAGTCAGTGACCTTATGATCAGTCCCCACATGGAGGGTTTTTTTTCTGTTCTTGGCCATGTGCTTGACACCTAAGTGAAATTGTGTGGAGAGCGGGTCTTTGCCAGGTTTCCAGTCCTTCACCTTCCCGAGGACTAGGGCAAGGGAAGCTGGCTTCTTCCTGTTCCCGTCTCGGCTCTGGCTGTACGGGTGCTCACTGCAAGGACCCCAGTGCCCTCAGGTGGTTGCTCTTGTCATGCCATCCAGTCTGTCTCCTGTGCAGGGAAGGGCTGGTCAGTGTGTGGCCTTTTGTGTAGTTGGCCTGTCATCTCAGGATGGTGAAGCGGAGTGATAAAGGTGGCACTGATGTAGGGGACCACTGAGCCCTGCACTGTCTGCTGCCCTGACCCTGTGCGCCTCGTTGCTGCACCACTGCTGCCTGGGGCCCGGAGCTCTGGCCTCACGTGGGGCTTGTAACTCTATACACATCTTTTCCTTAGTGTCTGTCTATAGCACTGGGTCCACACCCTAGTGGGCGACAGTCTCGGCAGGGTCCAGAGCATGTGTTGTGTTGGCTCCTAACCACCTCTATCCCTGGATGACCTGTACCCTGGCCCCAGCCTTCCCCAGTGGTACATGCTGGCCGTGCAGGGCTGAGCTGTCCTGTTGGCTAAGCGTACCATCTGCCTCCAGGAGCTGCAGCGGCTGGAGACAGAGCTGGGCCGACCCCCTGAGCGCTGGAAAGACACGTGGGACCGTGTAAAGGCTGCCCAGCGCCTGGAAGGCCGGCCAGATGGGCGAGTACGTGGGAAGGGGGAGGAGCGGAGGAATCTAGGGGTGCATGTGTGTGGTGGGGGATATGCTGGTCAAATGAAGCCCTGGGCCCTGACACCGAATCCTCACTGCAGGGTCCCTCTGGCTCCTTGCTGGTGTCCAGCGTGCCCCATCACCGCCGCTCGCTGGGTGTGTACCTGCAGGAGGGGCCTGTGGGCTCCACCCTGAGCCTCAGTCTGGACAGTGACCAGAGCAGTGGCTCCACCACGTCCGGGTCCCGCCAAGCTGCCCGGCGCAGCACCAGCACCCTCTATAGCCAGTTCCAGACGGCCGAGAGCGAGAACAGGTGCTGCTTGCCCCCCAAGCCCCACGGCAGACACTCCCACACCCCAGCTCACCTCACCTCTAGACCCACCACTGACATGAGTGCTGGGAGGCCATGGCTGGGACCCTTGCCTCCCTGAGGACAGCACCCTCAGGCGGGTGTCTCCTGAGAGTCTACGGCCTCTTCACAGGTCATATGAGGGGACATTGTACAAGAAGGGTGCCTTCATGAAGCCCTGGAAGGCCCGGTGGTTTGTGTTGGACAAGACCAAGCACCAGGTGAGTGGCCTGCAGGGTGGGCACTGGGGGGCTGAGCCCTGCCTGACGCCCCTCCTCTGCAGCTGCGTTACTATGACCACCGGGTGGACACCGAGTGCAAGGGCATCATAGACTTGGCTGAGGTGGAGTCAGTGGCTCCCGGCACACCCACCATGGGCGCCCCCAAGACCGTGGATGAGAAGGCCTTCTTTGATGTGAGCCTGTGGGAGGGGCCTTCCCCCTGGGGTTGGGGTGGTCCCTGCGGTGCCCTGGATTATAGATTTGTCTCCCCAGGTGAAGACGACACGCCGAGTTTACAACTTCTGTGCCCAGGACGTGCCGTCAGCCCAGCAGTGGGTGGACCGCATCCAGAGTTGTTTGTCAGATGCCTGACCCCTCGGCATTTCTGGTGTCACAGACCACTTCGGGGGGGGGCCAGCTCCGGCCATGTTTACAGCCCCCCCTGGCTGACAGTATTGAGGCCCCAGCACTTGAGTTTGTACAGTGCCCACTGCCCGGCTTGGTGGACTTAACTTATTGAGGGCCTGGGCAGCAGGCAGCCATGGTACAGCCCTTCAGGGCCTGTAAATAGTCCCCCCCACCAGCCTGGCCGGTTGGCCACTGTCTGTCCTGGAACAAGTGTCTATAAAGAACTAATGGACTCCTCCCGCCTGCATCCTCCTCCCACAGCCTGCCCACCCGAGCCCTGCCCAGGCCATCTCTGAGATCCAGGGGGACTGTGTGTCTGTGGTGGACCCCAGTCTGAGACTCTGGCCATCGGGCAAGGTGGGTGCCATGAGGTGAGGGAGACTGACCCCAAAGGGAAGATGATTCAGGGCCTGAGACTAGCTGTCCCTAGGACACATGGTAGGAACTCAGAGGGCCACTCGTGGGACAGGTGCTAACAGGTCACTGTGGGTGGGTGTCACAGAGCCCAGACATTTGAGGGCCCCTGGTGCCTTAAGGAAGCCTGGGTGGTGGTGGTGGGGTACAGGTTCCTGGTGGGAAGCCATGGGAGGAGAGAAAGTTGAACACGAGGAGGTTAAAAGCCAGGACCCCTGGCAGCAGGTGTGTCTTATCCCACCCCCTCCCCAGTTCTAGCTCTGCGGGGCTCCTTCCGGAGCACGGTGGGGTGGGGTGGGGTGGGGTGAGCCAGTGGGTTGCTGTGCTGGAGGCACAGTAATAACCTCAGGAAGACGACACACAGCTGTTTATTGGAGTTGGGCTGGTGGTGTCAGGAACAGGGGAGAGCACACCCCAGGTGGACCCCACCCAGCCCCTGGCCTTGCCCGCTGTGTCCATCCATTCATCCTCTTGTTCATCCGTCCGTCCACCCCGCTGACTGTTAAAGCGGGTTTAAGGCAATCGGGTCTCACAGCCTAGGCTGGTGCCCACACCCTAGTGCCCAAGTGCATTCAGGGATCTCCCCTCCCCAGACACGCCCCCCCCCCCCCCCAGCCACGCCCCCCCCCCCAGGCCAGTGGGCCCCTGAGCAAGGAGAAGGTCATCTGCTGCTTCAGTGATGACAAAGTGCAAAAACAAAAACAAAAGGGTCAAGACGCCCTAGGCCACACCCACAGCCACCAGTCCTGGGCCTGCACGAGGGGCCTGCATGGGCCCTATGGTGCCCCCAGCTCCGGCCGGCCCGCAGGCAGAGCCAGCAGTGGACTTTATTGCTGGGGGGCGCTGGTGCCCCCGCCGAGCCGCCTGGACGACGCAGCCGGGCCGCAGCAGGAGGACGCGCCTGGCGTCGGACAGCTCCCACTGCCAGCTCTACAATGCAGCATTTATTTCAAAATAAAGTTAAATTAAAATTGATAATTGCATCACCAGGTAGCTTTCTGAGTAGATGGCACCAGGCCTGGTGGCAGCAACTTCACACAGGACCATTAGAGGTGGCTTCCACTGGAAAGGGCACATCTGTCTTCCTGTGAGAAGAGGGATGAGGTTAGGTCATCAGGAGCTCTAGGGTTGCCCCACCATTCCCATGTGCTCACCTGTCCTTTGTCCCCAGAGGGGCCACTGTGGTGACGGCCACAATGGACCCTGGGGAGGCCACCACAGTCAGTGCAGTGGAAGTAGCCAGAGACGATGCCAAGGGGACTCCCTCAGGGGGCACAGCCTCAGCTGCGGTAATGGGGTTGCGGGCTGCAAGGTCCAGCGGTGTGCCCGGTGTGCGGTCAGACCTGTGTGCATGTGTGGGCAGCAGCTGAGGGGCCAAGCCCTGGTTGCCACTGTGCACAGACTGAAGGGTCAGGCACCAAAATGGCCTGGGCCTTTTGGGGGCAGCCTGGCAGCCTGTGTTGCCTCACTGGACACTATGGTCTGTCCTGTCTTTTGTCCTAAACACTTCAACTGACCTCCATCCTCTCAAACTCCCTGGGCTGGCTTTTATGTCCCTTCCCAGGAGAGCTGACCCTGTTGCAAGGACAGGCTGAGGGGGAAGGAGCCTCCCCGCTTCATCCACACTTCCGTACGTGTGAGGCAGCTTAGCCTGATAGGGCCACAACACTCAGGTGCCTCCAGAAATGGCCACAAGCAAGGTCACGGTGGGGGCAATGACCCCTCCAGGACCTGCTGCTCTCTGGCACCTCACCTGCAAGCAGCAGCCTTCACAGCAGGGGATGGAGCCCCTTGGCTCAAGTCTGAGCCGACATGCTCTTGTCCACCAACTGCATCCCAGGCACTCGGGGGAGCTGGGTTAGCTGCAACAAGCAGTTGGGGGGTTAGGGTCAGGGCCCAAGATGCAGCCTCCAGGACTGTCCCCACCTCTGCCTCCCATCCTCCTGGGGGTGCCATATGTCTGTAGAGCAAGCACTGACAAGGGGACACGGGAAATACCCAAAAATCACCACCAAAGCAAGCAGGGGAGGCGAGGACCTCGCCCAAGGGGTGCAATCTGCTTGCTGTGGTGTCCCCTGTGAGCCCTCCCAGAAGCTGCTGTGACTCACGGGTTCTCTGTGGGCTCTGGTCTGGGTCACCCGGGACACTGGAGCCATCTGTGTCCACAGGGGAGCTGCATCGGGGGCTGGGCTCAGAGCTGGAAAGGAGTTAGTGTAAACTGAGCTGGACCTACAGCGGACACGTGTGCACTCCCAATCATGCCCTGGCCCCCACCAGGGGCACATGTTACCAGCAGAAAGGCTGAAAGTCAGTGAATGTGGCCCAGCCCTTCTCTTCTGGTGATGAGGCCCCAGGTGTGGTGACTGCCCAGACACTGGAACCAACGTCCACAGCCACCCCTGGGGCCTGGGGGCCTGCACTCAGGGGCTCATCAAACACTGCGGCCCACCTGGTACCTGTAAGAGAAACAGACCGATCTCCATCCTGGGGCTGCAGGGACATTGTCACCCCCCCTCTCAGGCAGGCTGAGCAGGGCCGGATTGGGCAACTGCCATACACGCCCCCAAAGATGGGTAATCGCTGCAAATGCCTATGGCCCAGCACTCGCCAGCCTTAGCTGAGTCCTGGCACCCCTGCCCACCATCGCCCACGTCCTGCTGGAGATACCAGGGGCCGTGAGTGTGGCTGGGTAACCACAGCATATGGGTGGGACTTCCTACCCTGAACACATTAAGGGGGTTATGTATGCCTCTGGCCCATGGCACCTCCTGCACCCCTTACCCAAACCCACCTTCAGCATCAGCCTCCATGCCCGGGCCTCCTGTGTGCACGGGGCCGGGTAAGCCGAGGCTCCGGCTGTCCACAGCTGGAGGAGTGGCCCCTGAGGCACCGTCCGTGGCTGCATTCCCGCCCTGACCGCTGCTCTTCACGGTGCTCTTCGAGCCGCTCTCTGCAGCGTGGGGGGCTCCGAACCTGAGGACCCATGTGGTCAACGGATCCACGCACCCAGCCTGAGCAGCCCTTCCCATGAGCAGGCCTGGGGGCTGAGGTGGGCAGTGATGGCCTCGAGGGTCATGGCTGAGCCAGGCCCCCACTCCACGCCTGTCCCCCCTCCCCGAGCACCAAGATCCTCTGCACCCTCAGAGACGTGGGCAGCTGCGGGCACAGCCGCGGGCGCACCTGGCTCTGGCAGTTACTCGAGCCGAGCAGCTCAGCTCGCCGTCCTCCCAGATGTCATCGTCCTCGTCATCAAAGGGCTGGATGCGGTCACCACAGCAAGCTTCAAACAGCGCAGCATGGGGCTGCAAGACGAGTGGCTGTCCCCTGACCACCACAGCACCCAGTACCGTCTAGCCCCTACGGCCTCCACCCAGAACCATGGCCCCTGCCCATCCCCCATTTCTCATCCAGTCCCCACGGCCGCCACTCAGGCCCCTGGCTCCCATCCAATCCCCATGACCCCCACCTAAACGCCCTATCTCCCATTCAGTCCCCATGGCCCCTACTCATACTCCCAGCCATCTGGCCCCCATCCAGGCCCAAATTCTTAGCTAGCATAGCCCTCCCATTCAGATCCACTCAGGACCCAAAGCCCCCTTCCAGCTCTTGCCTAGTCCCCCTGGCCCCTGTCCAACCCCCATGACCCCTGCTCAGTCCTCACCACCCTCACAACCTGCTGTCCAGCCCCCACAGCTCCCAGCCCAGCTCCAAAATTCTCTCCCTGGCCCGTTTAGCCCTCACAACCCCTTTCAGCCTCCAGATGCCCCATTCAGCCCTAACAGCCTTTCATCTAGACCCCAGTGGCCCCCTCTGACTGACCCTCCTGGCTTCCAGCCCCGTCCTGGTGTCCCTACAGCCCCCACAGCTCCTGTTCAATCCTCAAAACCTCTTGTCTAGCTCCATGGCCCCTTGTCCAACATAGCCAACTATCAGACCAACCTCAATGTTCCCCCACTTACACTGTCATCATCGGCACCAGTGCTGAAGCTGATCTCCGCCACCCTGTCAAACGGTGCGCTGTGGACACAGACAGTCCTGCATCCCGATGGGCCACCCACCCTCCTCCCACTCACAGCACCCTGCAGTGGGTGGTGGAACTCTAGAGCTGCGAGCTGGGGGAGGGGAGGGCATGTATGTCCAGGGCTGGGTGCTGGGGGAGGGGGAGGAGGTGTGTCTTGAACTGGGGGTAGGGGGGAACAACAGGTTGTCCAGGGTCTGTGAGCTGAAAGCAGAATAGGAGGTTTCCATATGGGGGCCTCCTCAGGGCTTTCAGAAAAGGCACGACTCAGTGGCAATGTTGAGAGCCAGGCTGGATGGAGGTTATCGGATTGGTCAACTGGCACAACTGGCACCACCACCACCACCACCACCTCTTAAAGGACTTCCGGTGGTGAGGGGCATATACTGACGCAAGGGCAGCTGTGGTGGAGAGGCTGGGGTGGACAGAGGAGCAGCTCTGACCACTGGGCAAAGCAGATGCCACACCAGCTGCAGCATGGGAACCAGCCTGCTCCTGGCCCCTCCTCAGTCCTGGCTCTCTCCCCAGGCAGGCGCTCACTTTATGTTGTCATCTTGGTCTGCAAACTCTTCGTCGTTAAAGCCAAACTGATCCACGAAGCTGGCAGTCATCTGCTGGACCTGGTACTCGGAGAAGGCCTGGAGAGCAAGGGCCTGTGAGGCTACGGCTCCCCGACACCCCGTGGGCTCCCCAGAGGGTCCCTGCTGGGCATCACAGCAGGGCTGGTGCAGCCTGGAGGTGGCTCTCAGGAAATGCCTCCTCCTCACGCACCTGCTGGAGGGACAGCTCGTTGGGAAAGGCGCTGTCGATGTCCTCGTCCTCGCTGGAGGAGTGGAGGTGGTGTGTGCTCACCTAAAACAGGCAGGGCGGGAGTGCAGCAACGGGACACAGGGGTCTCTTCAGACCACCTGGCTCCTGTCAGGGTGTGTGGGGGTCTCCACAGACCACCCGGCTCCCGACGGGGTTGGGGGCTCTCCACAGGCCACCGGGCTCCTGACAGGGTTGGGGGGGTCTCCTTAGACCACCTGGCTCCCAACAGGGTGAGGGAAGTCTCGATGGACCACCCAGCTCCTGATGGGGTAAAGGGGGGGGGTCTCTTCAGACCACCTGGCCCCTAGACAGGATGGGGTGGGGTCTCTACAGACCACCCAACTCCTGACGGGTGGGGGGGGGTCACCACGGAACACCTGCCTCCTGATGGGGGTAAGGGAGGTCTCTATGGCCTGCTCAGCTCCTAACAGGGCGAGAGGAGGTCACCTTGGACCTCTCAGCTCCCAGTGGGATATAGGTGTCTCCTTGGACCACCCGGCTCCTGACAGGATACAGGGTTCTCCTCAGACCAACTGGCTCCTGATGAGGTGAGGGGGTCTTCTTGGCCCACCCAGCTCCTGACAGAGTAGAGGGGTCTTCATGAACCATCCAGCATGCACGCAGCTCCTGCCAGGGGGAGGGGCCTCACAGGACACCCTCCCTCAGGCCACCCCGACGTGCTCACCAGGTCCACAGTATTCCTGCGGTTGGTCTCAGTCAGGGTCTCCTCCACAAAGCTCTCCCAGCGTCCCCGGCAGTCCTCAGGGAGCCCTGCAAGGGGTGCCACTGCTCAGGCCCAGTCCTGAGGTCCCACTGCTGCCCAGAGCCAGGGACGGACCAGAAGGGATGACTCAGCCCCCACAGGGCTAAGGACTGACCAGAAGGGCTCCACTTAAGGACGCTGCCCCACGAGGCAAAGACACAAGCAAGCAAGCAAAAGGGTGGCCTCTGCTGTCCCTGTGAAGCAGGTCAGTGGTCATCAGGCCTGAGGCCAGCCCGACACCCCTGCCCTTGGGGCCATGCTGGAGGGGCCACTAGAGACCTAGCCGTGCTTGGGATGCACACTTGGCCCCGCCTACCCAGCTGGTGGTGGGGTCTCAGGCAAATGACAGCCAAAGTGAACTGGACAATAGGCCCAGGGACAACAGGCAGGCAGGGACCAGAGCCTACAGGGCCATCTCAGTGCACAGCGGCTCACCTCGAATGACCTCACTGACGTGGGTCTGCAAGGGGCCCCGCTCCAGGTTCTGCACCACGGCATTCGCGATCCTGGTCAGGTGGCCCATGTTCCCACGCCGCATGCCACCTGCTGCCCTGAAAGCACTCGTCCAGTATGAGCATGGTGGACACCTGACCCCACTCCTGCAGCAACTGCCCCTCTGATGGATGCACAACAGCCTACTACCATCTGTCCAGTGTCCAAACCCTGCCATGTGGTCCTACAGACTCTGGGAACATCTACTTCCTCCCTTGAGGAAGGGTCCTCGGCCACCACAGCCTCTGACCACTGCACCACTGCAGTGGCCACCTCTCCCAGGACCACGACTGGTTTTGGCCCCCCAAAAAGCCCGAGTTGTGGGTGGCTCTGTGGCCCTGCCCATAGTCTCAGTCTTAGCTTCAATGCCAGAACTGTGAGGGGGAGTGGTCATTCTCACTCCCCCTTCAGCAGAGAAGCCACAGGGTCACCAGAGTTGCACAGCTGGCCAGCAGCACCTGCAGCTAACCCAGGATGGTCAAGCTGTGAGTACACCTGTCATGTTTTGTGACCAAAGGTGACTATGGTCTTGGTCCCAGAAACCACCCTCTCCCAGCACTGCCCAGGCTGGACTCCTCCCTGGATCGTGCTGGAGGCATCTTGGCTTGTGTGGCAGATGAACACAGGTTCTGGGCCACACTAGGAGGGCAGCTGGGGTCTTGTGTGGGCAGAGCAGCCAGGCAGGGATGCTGGTCAGGGCTGGGCAGGCCTGGCACTCACGGGCTGGCTCACTAGAGGATAGGCAGATGTAAAGCTCCTAGGACTTTGGGGAAGTTAGGGACAAGCCCTCTAGCACAGGGTCAGATGACAAGATGGTCCTGAACCTCTTGTGTGCACAGGAGCTATGGAGGCAGGTGGGAGAGCGGGGAGAGGCAGCCTGGTAAGCCCCTCACATGGAGAGACTACAATTCCACCACGGCCATCACGGCTTTAGGGGTTTAGAGCCTGGGGCTAGTATTTCTCAACATGGTTTCAGATCATTGGCTGTTAAGAAGAAGAGGACAAGGGGGCCCAGGAGAATGAAGGGGAGTGGGTGATGGCTGGGCGTGTGGGCCCAGGTAGCCAGACCACAGGCTGAAGCTGCTGAGGACCTAGTGCCTATCCTGACACTAGAGACTGACCACACCCCAGCTGACAGTGCAGGCCAGCCTTCCTGGACAGCTCCTCCAGAAGATGCCCCCCTAACCCACCTGGCTGATCTCTGCCCAGTCCCACTGCTGTTAACTAGGTCCACCTTCAGAGCTGTCTCCCACGCAGGACCCCACCCACCACAGCCCTCACTCCACGCAGCTCACTGTGTGTGGTCGTTTGCTTCCCAGGCCTCCAGGATCCTTTGCACCAGGCAGCACTTTTGGAACAGCTGGAAAGACAGGGGACAGCAGCAGCTAGAGCCTGTAACATGCCTGAGGCCCCCAGCCTGCAGTCCCTCCCCACCTACGCCTGGGGCAGTGCATGGAAGGCTGCCCCTCAAGCCTCTCCATTCACCCCCCTGGAGTAAGTGGTCTATAGCAGACCCTGACCCAATTCGGAATTCCCAGCACAGCTGACCTGTCAACTGCTCCACCACCCCCATAACTCCCCACTAGCTCTGCATCCGGAGGCCCCACTGTGGGCCTCAAACTCACCCCCCCCCACAGTGGTCATGTGCTGAACACGCCCAACACTATCAGGCCTAGTAATGGCCCTTAGGAGGGTGTAGCGCACAGGTATGACAAGAGGTAGGAGTAGGGCTCCACAGGTGTGACATGGGAGTTGAGGGTCCACAGTGTGATGGGAGCGGGGGATTCACAGGCGTGATGTGGCAGCCCTAGGACCGAGTGTGGTTATAGAGATGTCATTTTGAAGCCCCAGGTGTGTCCGTAGACTCCATAGACCCTCAGAATGGTGAGCTACCTATGGGGCTGGTATTCAGCCAGCAAGGCTTGAGGCATGTCCAGAGCACCCCCCCTCGCCCCGACCCAGGACCCACACCAGCCTCGAAGGTGAGGAAATAATCATGGAAGCGGCTGCAGAAGACATTCACTCCTCCTCATGGCCCCTAATGGCCATGGCTGGAGGAAGGGGTGTCCTTGAGGGCCCACTCACATGGGTCACCAGTGTGTCATCAGGGTGGCCAGTCACAGGCTGGGGACCCTCAGAGGGTTCAGTCGTCTCCTCGCGGGTGGCATGGGAGAGGATGGCAGCTACACACAGCTCCACTTGGAAGTGCAGGAAGTTGTTCCAGGTGTACTTGAAGAACAAGTCCTGGTAGGCAGAAGGTAGGAGGTACTTGGGCTGCTGGCCATGCACTGCTCCCTGTGGTGACCCCAACCACATGCAAGACAAGAGATGAGGTGGACAAGACCCAGTGTGGACACCCTAGAAGATGTGGTCCCTATAGGAAGGCTGAGGCCAGAAGAGTACTGACTGTCTCAGCCTTTTGCCCTGGCAGGATAGTCATCTAACCCTCTCTCACAGCACACCAGGACATAGCAGTCCCCCAAAGCTCTGACCTCTAAGCCCACAGGAAGCTGAGGCTCAAGGACCATGACGTGGTCCAAAGATGGCAGGGGGCCAAAGTGCTCAGAGTGCTCGACAAGGCTGAGGAACACAGGGCTGGACAGGGGCAGGGAGTTGGATGGAGGATTCGGCAGGGGACTCAATGGGCAAGGTGTTGGAGGGAGACTGGAGGGTGAGAGACTTGGGGGTGGGGATTTCAGAAAAATGGGCAGGAGGCTGAAGGGGTACTGAAGTGGGTAGACATCCCCGTGAACCATCTGTGGTATCACCTCTCCCTCTCCCCTGCACAGAGCAGGCCCGGCCCCCACCTCTGACTTATCACCTGACCAAGACCTCTGGGTAAGAGGAACACACCCTGGCCTGACCTTCCAGTCAGCCACCAACCACTGTGCCTCTGTGAAGCACCAAAACTCCTGCCCCAAAGCCCCCCAGGGAGAAGCCCTGTACCCAGGAGGTGATGTGGGCCAGCAGCCTGGAGCTAAAGGTAGCACGGTGCTCTCTCACGAGGTGCCTCTCTCACACAGGGCCACCTCAACACTGAGCATCTCCCCCCAGAGGCATCTCCCCTGCAGGGCATCTCTCCCCACAGGGCATCTCTCCCTGGGGGGCTGTCATCTCCTCCATGGGGCATCTCCTACACACACTGTCTCTCTCACAAGGCATCTCTCTCCCACAGGCGTCTCCCTCAGTGGGGGTGGGTGTCATCTCTCCCCTACAGGATATCTCTCCCTGGGGGGGTGAGAGGATCATCTCCCCCATGGAGCAACTCCTACCCACGTTGTCTCGTCACAGGGTGTCTCTCCTTTATGAGTCATGTCCCCCAGGGGTGTCTCCCCATGGAGCATCTCCTACACAAGGCTACTCTCATATGAGGTGTCTCCCCGCTGCAGGGCAGGACGCCTCTCCTTTATGGGGCATCTCTTCCATAGGGTGCGTCTCCTACAGTATGGCTAGCACCCCCCAACAGGACAGCCAGCACCCCCACACAGCACAGGCTGTACGATACCCCCTTGTACAGTTATGGTGAGTGAGCAGGTGGGAGCTTACTCAGCCCCATCTGAGGACTGCCTGCTCTCCACAGCCCCCCAACATCATGTGTTTACAGAGCTGTGAACCGCTGTCATACGATGGATCAATGTAATACCAGGGTAAATGGGGCCATGTGCCTTCACTCCTTCAGCCCTAGACGCGGGTGTCCCCAGCTGTGGCTGATAACACCTGTTATCACAGAAGAGATATAAGGAGGCGGGGGCAAGTCACCCAGAAAGAATCCCCAGGAGTGGAGGCATCCTGGACCTGGGCCCCTGTGCTGGAAGGAACAAGGGGACAAATGCTGAAGCAAACAGGGTCCTTCCTCCAGAACCAACAGTGGCTCTCCTCCAGAGCTGGTCCTTGGCCCTGGACTCTAGCCCTCAGGCTGTAAAAAAGGGGCTTCTGTCTGTCAGAGCTGTCCCCATGCTGGGGCTCTCAGAGCAGCGCAGTGGCCAGGGGCTGGGGTCACATCCACAGCCACCCGACGGGCTGTGAGCAACAGCGCTCCTCCGTGCCTGCAGATGCTGCCACCACCAAGAGTTCTCTGAGGAGAAAGGAGGGTGGTTCTGCTTCACTTAAGTTGGGATTTCCATGACAATCAATTCCCACCATCCAGTCAGAATTGACTAAAAAGTGACCTTTCACTGGGTTTTGGCAGCTGTAAATCACACAAGAGAAAGAGGAGACTGTTTATCTTTCTCTCACAGAGCTATGCTGGATTTGAGCCCAATACTGAGAGTTGCTATAGGCAAAATACTGAATGACCCAAAAAGCATCAAAAGAAGATGGAGGGAATACAGTCATTGTACCAGAAAGAACTGACTGACAGAGAAAAATGTCAGCATGCACCATATGGTGAGGAGCCAAAGGTAACGAAAACTGAACTGAAGATCCCAGGAATCAAAGGGAGACCAACCGACAAGATCCAACCAACAGATGCAGCCCTGGATATGCCCACCAGTCAGTACCAGGAATGGTGGAGGACAGCGGCTTGGCCGACTGATTGGACGAAATCCATATTCTCATTCCCAAGAAAGATGATAAAAAACCCCAACTGTGTAAATTGTTGAACAATATAATTAATATCACATGCAGGCAAAATACTGCTGAAGATTATTAAAAAAAAATTATAGAACTGCTTCTCCCCCCCAGCCCCCCCAGCTATCTTAACAAGGCTGCACTTGTGGTAGCTCCTTTCCAAGTTTCACGATGCTGCCCAAGGATGACTAGAGAAAGAATGATGCTGGAAAGTTGGCTAAAAAAGACAGAGACCCAGAGAACAAATCTGGGGGCAAAGTCAAGAAGAAGTGGTCCAAGGGCAAAGTTCAGGACAAGCTCAACAACCTGGTCTTGTTGACAAAGCCACACAGGACAAACTCTGTAAAGAAGTTCCCAGCTGTACGTGTATAACCCTGGTTGTTGTCTCTGCGAGACTGAAGATTCAGGGTTCCCTGGCCAGGGTGGCCCTCAGGAGCTGCACAGTAAATGACTTGTCAAGCTGGTTTCAAAACACAGAGCTCAAGTCATTTACACCAGAAATAAGGGTGGAGATGCCCCAGCTGTGGTGAAAATGCATGAACAAGTTGTACATTTTTAAAAAGGAAATTTTACTCAATTAAAAAAAAAAAAAAGGCCAGAACAGTAAATAGATAGCAAACTTCCAGAAACTGAAGCTGGGTTTAGATGAAGCTGTGGCACCAGGGATATCATAGCTGGTGTCAGGTGGATGCTGGCAGAAAGCAGAGAATACCAGAAGAATGTCTATTTGTGTTTTACTGACAATGTAAAAGCATTTGATTCTGTGGATCATAACAAACTATGACTAACCTTGAGAAGAACTGGAACGCCCGAACACTTAATGTGCTTATGTGAAACCTAAACCTAGATCAAGAAGCAGTCATCCGAACAGAACATGGGGAAACTACATGGTTTAAAACCAGGAAAGGTGTGCATAAGGGTTACATTCTTACATCTCAACATCAAGAAAATAAGGATCAAAAAAAATAAAATAAAATAAAAATCCTGGCCACAGGACCAACAGTCAATATTATAATAGAGCAAAGACTGAAGCTATCAGTGATTTAATCCTGCTTAGATCAACAATCAACACCTTTGACTGCAGCAGTCAGGAAATCAGGAGACATACTACATTGGGCAAGTCCACTGTAAGAGACTGCTCCAAATTGCTGAAAACTAGTGATGTCAATTTGAAGACCAAAGTGTGCCTGATTCAGGCCATGGTCTTCTCAATCACCTGCTAAGCATGTGAGAGCTGGACAGTAAATAAGGATAAAAGAAGAATTAATGAATTTATTTGAGTTCTGGTGCTGGAGAAGAGCACTATATATATCCCATGGATAGCCGAAAGGACAGACAGATCTGTATGTCTTGGAGAAAGTGCAGCTAGAGTGCTCCTTGGAGGCAAGGATGGTGAAGCTTGGTCTCTCATCCTCTGGACCTGTAGCTAGGAAGGATATTCTCTTGGAAAGGGGCATCATGTTTGGAAACATGGAGGGTCAGCGACAAGATGGACTGACATACTGACTTCAGCAATGGACTCTCATGTGTCAGAGGTGATAGGGATGGTACAGGGTAAGGCAGGGTTCAGGTTAGCTGTACACAGGGTCACGAGGAGTTGTACTTGACTCAATGGAACCTAACAACAATTCAACGCACATGATGAGTAAATCACACAAGACGCTGGACTCTGTGAAGAAAAATGAGGCATCAGGATTGGAGAAAGACTCATCAACAACCTTTGTTATACTGATGACACAACTTGTCTACTAAAAGTGAGAAGGATTTGAAACGCTTGCTGCAGAAGATTAAAGACTACAGCCTTCAACATGGATTACACTTCAGTATCAAGAAGAAAAAATCCTTACCACTGGACCAATAGGCAACATCATGACAGATGGAGAAAAAAACTGAAAATGTCAACAATTTCCTGTTACTCGGATCCACAATGGCTTGATACCAGCAGTCAGGAGATCAGGAGACATACTGCACTGGGAAAGTACTGTCAGGGACCTCTCCAAATCACCGATCCAGTTGTGCCTGATGAGGGCCAGTCCAGTCTTTCCAGTCATTTGCTATGCATCTGAGAGCTGAAGTAAAGCCAGAGTGCTCTGTGCAGGCAAGGATGGTGAAGCTTCATCTCACATACTTTCGGTAGAAGAGGCTATTCCTTAGGGAGGGATGTCATCTTGGGTAAGGTGGAGGGTTAGTGACAAAGAGGAAAATCCTCAACTAACTGGACTGACACTGTGACTGTAGCAATGGGCTCAAGTGTGTCAGGTTGATAAGAATGGGACAGGGTTCAGATTTTTGGTTCAGAGGGCATCATGGGTCATACTTGATTCAATGGCACCTAACACCAACACACAAACCCTGCTAATCTGCTACTTCTCCAAAGTATTAAGGAGCAGGTATGTCAGTTTGAAGACCAAGGTGCCCTGATTCAAGTGATAGTCTTTTCAACTGCTTTCTATGCATCAGAAAGTTGGACAATGAATAAGAAAGACAAAGAAAACTTGATGCCTCCAAGTTGCGGTGCTAGAGAAAAGTACTGCCAAAAGACAAATTTCTTTTTTTGAAGACAGTGAAACTAGAGTGCTCCTTAGAGGCAAGGATGGTGAAACTTGGCCTCTCTTACCCTGGCATGTTGTTAGGAGGGGCTGGTCCTTGGAGAGGGACATCATGCTTGGGAAGGTGGAGGCTCAGTGAAGGAGGTAAATATCCTCAATGAGAAAGACTGGCCCAGTGACTGTAACAATGTACTCGTGTGTTGCAGACGATGCAAATGTCACAGGATACGGTGTAGGGTTCAAGTCCATTATTCATAAGGTCACTAGGAGTTGTATTTGACTCAATGACACCTAATAACAATCTCCTGGGAGGTCCTGATGGGCCTGAGCTGGCAGGACAACTGGTGATATCTGTCCATAGTACCCTATGCACAGTCAGCTCAAACCCGTGGGCAGTTTTCCCTTGCAGGACAGGACCTGCCGCCTGGCCTTCCAATCAAATTCTGCCTTGTTGGGTCAAAGACAAGGACAAGTGAGGCCACGTGACCATATACCTGTCAACAAGGCCCACTCTCATGGGCAAATTCTGGGAGGCCCATCCCCACTCCAGGGCACATCCCAGGGCTCCACACAGGAACTTCTGTAGGGATAAGGCTGCTCCACAACCTGTCAAGGACTTTCTGTCGGCTGAGGTCTCTGTCCTGGGGCCAGGGCTCCGTTCCACCACTGGACTTGACTTTTTTTGTCAGTTTCTGTCATCCTCACAGGAGGGAGGTGATCACAGGTTGTAAAGGACACAAAGACAAAGACTTCTTGAGATGCATGGGTGGACCAAGTAGAACACAGGGATACCTTAATGAGATGCATGGACAGACTCTGATAAGCTGCACCCGTAGCCCCGGGAAGCCCACTCACCAGCAGCAGGTCCATGGTATTGAGGCGGCAGAGCTCCCGGTTGACGCTGGGTGTGTTGGTGTGCAGCAGGGCAGCCACAAGGCGGGCACTGTGCAGACGGGCGTTACCCAGGGGTTCCTCCAGCACCCCGATGGTGGTCAGGATTGCACCTTTCTAGAAGCGGTGGGCACTGTCAGCCTCCTCCACGTTGCCCGCTGAGGGCTGTGGGGTTTATTGGGCCCTCATGCACACCAGCCACCAGGAGACCTGGCCTCAGCAGGCAGCACCAAGACCAGGGGCTTGGTGGGGATCTGCCAAGGATCTGGAGCTGCAGACCCTACAAACTACCTCATCCGGTGCCATAAAACTGTGGACCCCCACCCTCTTCTGGCGCTTGCTCTGGGCATGACCTGCTTCACTCACTGGAGAAGGACAAGCACACAGCCAGCAGATCACATGGTGCTGAGGACCCACGGTGGGGACAAGCTGGGGGCTCTGATTTGAGGTAGGCACAGGGCAGCCCCAAGTGGCATATGAGCAAAGCTGAAGGGCTGGGCTGTGGCCTCTCTGATGTCACCCTGCTCACCCTCACCACATGCACCCCATCCGCACGCCGTGCTGGACTGCCCCACCAGCCCCAGAGTGGACACTCCACATCAGCTGATTCCAGATGTCAGGGGCCACCAACAGTCAGGCAACTGTGTAGGTGTGGGGGGGACACGCAGGGTAGCAGCCACTCACCTTCGGCGGTCTAAGCAGCAGACAGTGGAAGTCCTTCAGTCGGGGCTCAATGCCCTGCAGGACGCTGCTACTGACACTGTGTGGCCGCAAGAGTCCCTGAGAGAAAGAGTCCACTGTGCCGCTCTCTGTCCTATGGGGCCAGAAGCCAAGTCACCAGGGCATTGCAGCCTTGGGTAGACGATGAAACACCCACTTTCTCACAAAAGGGCACCCCGAGACCTCTGTACATCTCTCAGTGGATGTGAGAGGGGACAAAGTGTCAGAAGGCAGTCTGATCACTGGTCGTGTGTCCACCTTTGACAAGCTCATTGCTATCCCCTGGGTTGGGAACTAGAAACAGGTTCCACATAACCCCTTTGGATTTTACAAACTGAAACTGTAAAGACTTTTTCTTAATTATAAAGAAACAAAATTATTACAGGAAGTAAGAGCCTCAAATACAGAAAAGCATGGGCAAGAAAAAAGACCCAGCCATCCTGCCTCTGTCCTCACACCAGGCCCCAGATACCCCACTTCCTTCCTAAACCACACAGGCCCAGACAAATTCTACTGTGTTATGAGAGGGAAACCTATTTTGGTTGGTTAATTATAAGAAATGATCATAACTTTGTAATTCTGTAATAAGGTTACAAACTGCTAAACTGGTCATTTCTTCCTTCAAAGCCCTGAGGTCAGTGTGAGACTGTGGGAATGAAGAAGTCCAGAAAACAGAGTAGAGAAATGATAAACAGGTGCACCTCCCAACCCCTACCCCAAGTCCTCCTGGTTTCCTATACTACCCCTGCCTGGACCCTCATCTTCCTAGGCCTATCAGAGCCAGCCATGCCTCCCTGAGCTCTGCTGTCCACTGTGACACTGAGCCAGCCCAGCCTGTCCCTCCATTCTGTCCCCACTCCTGAGGTCCTACCAAGAGTTTCCACTGCTTCCTCAGATGTTCCTGCCAGCTGTGCCCCAGCCAGTTCAGGGGCTTCTCAACACCATGACCAGATTGGAGCACCCAGACCCCCTTCCCAGTACGGCCCAGGTCCCCAGCCCACTCTACACACAAGCCCATAGAGCACCCAGCACCCCCCCTCCACATCCCCGGCACACAAACACTACAATAGCAGTCACTTGAATGCATTGGCCAGCCGGAGTGGTGATGGCCCTGGCATGGAGGAGGACTGAGTGGAGCTATAAGATGAGCCTTATGATGGACACGTAGTCATACCTACAGATGCCTGACCAGCAGGCCAACAAGATACAAACCCCAGCGCCCAGCCTGGACTCACCCGGCACGCCGCCCCTCCAGCAGGGTCAGCAGGACCTGTGTGCCATACACCAGGCAGGTCTCTGTCTGCTGGCCATCGAACATGTTCCTGAGCAGCTGCTCCACGCAACCCTGCCTGTCAGAGATATGCATGGTCACAGGACAGAGCTAGGAGGGCTCCCCCCGGGCTGGACTATGGGAACAGCTCGACAGGGACACCGCTCCCCTGAGGCAGGGCAGGACCCCACACCATAGAGGCCTCACCTCCTCGGGTGGCACTTACGACTCTAGGACCGTAAGGAGTGGGTCGGGCTCTGTTGTCTCCTGCAGCTGACCACTCTGGTCTCGACCCAGCCGGACGATGTCGCAGAGTGTCTGCGATGCATTGGACTGCCTCTGGAGGCACAAAATGCCAGAGTAGTCAACACCCACAGGGCACTGAGGCCTGGGCTGTGGGGATGAAGTCCCTGGACACATGCTAGACTCCCTCTCAACAAGTTTCAGCAGGAGTCCCACACCTGAGGGTTCATGCCATAGACATCAGTGCCTACACTCCCTGGACCTACCACGTCCAAGGTTTAGCAATGCCAGGCAATCATGCTGGGGCTGGGATAGATCTCCTGAGTTATACCTACAAAGACTGTGCTTCTGACACTGCTGTCAACTTAACAGCAAAACCCAACTGACTGTGAGACCCAAAGGCCAAGTTTAGAAGACATGAAAGAACAGATGGAAATAAGGAAATCCAAGGAGAAGTGGAAGAGTGCTGTTTCCCGAGGGATTTGCAATTGATGTTAGAAATAGAATGTGCCTATCGGTTCTTGAACAGAAGAGTAGAGATTAAGGAGATAGTACAGACCAGAGCCCACAAGTCTCCCAGCAAATTGGGAGCACAGCATGCATCGGCTGCCCTTGGGGGTCCTTCCTGAGCACATATCTGAGAGCGGTGTCTCTGCTGAGCCACTGCCTGCACGAGTGCCTGCTGGCCAGATGTGAAGCAGCTCAGGCTGTCTGAGATTGTTGGCCACAGAGCACTCTGCAGAGAAGACTCGGCCCTAGTCTGTGCCCTTATGGGGCACAGCTCTTGGACAGTGACATGGCTGGGCACCAACCACATTTAGGCACAGACCCCAGGCCACTGTTATGGCACTGTGCCTACCTCTGGACAGTTATTCAAGGCTGGTTAAAAATATGGCTGGCCCCATAGTCTCATATCATCACAGTGAACAGAAAACTACCCACCAAGTTTGAAGAAATCTCATCTCAGCCACAGATAGCTCATATGATACCACTGGACCTTTTTCTATGTAATGTTTTGTTTTACTCTGCTGTATAAGGAGCCCAGAAGTCCACCAGTGATCAGGGCAAAAACACTAGGCAGCCTCAGCCCCAGCCCAGCACTCACGTCCTCCTCCTGGCCTGGATGGATCAGCCCCACGAGTTTCTCAATCATCTTCTCTCCATTGAGCCACTGAAAGAGAAACCGCCTATGTCATGAGAACATCGGCCATCCCCAGCCATTGGCCTCACCAAAGGGGAAAGCCCTGGGGGCCTAGATCTGCACATAAACCCTCGTGGTCACCACTCAGGACTGCAGGTCAGGAATGCCCCAAGCTCCTGAGAAGTCTCTAGTCCCACAGACTCATAACTTCTCACTTCACCTGTCCTCAGAGCCAGCACCCCAGAACTATCACCCCTGCCTGTGATCCCAGAACTCAATGCTGATTCAAGTCCCCTGGACCACTTCCCAGCCCACACTCTCAAGAACTACCACCCTACCCCCTGTAACCGCTGGACCAGTGCCCAAGAAGAGACTCCTGCAGACCACCAACCTGGGCCCAAACCCCTAAAAGCCATCATCCCATGTTAAGCCTCTCCTTCCCCTACCCAGAGCCACCCTTGCCTTGCTGCCTATGGGGTACCCCCGCTGCCTGCCTGAGCAGGGTCTCTCTGCTGAGCCTCTCTGCCTTCATGGATGCCCCTCCCCAAGCACCTGCTCCTGACCCACCATCCTGGCCCGCACTCCAGTGACCACTACCAGCATAGGCTTCAGTTACATGGCTGTCCCCACAGCCCCCCTGCTCCCGCACAGTCACACTGCTAGTCACAGGGCCCTCTGGGCACTGGAGGGCCATCCTTCATCATCTCAAGTGACACCAGGGGTTGCTCACTTTGGGCAGGAAAAACAGTAATCTGACTTGATAAGGCCACTTATTTTCAAATTAATCTAACATTCTGATGGATAAAGTTGTATCATAATTAGAGGAAGTGAATCAGTCACTACTGGGTACAAACAACTGGCACGCATTCAGTCCCCAGGGCCCTGTGAGGACATCGAGTGGCTAGAGGTGTTTACAGGAGTGGGAACCATACCACTGTTCCTGAAGCCACATAGCAGAGCTAAGTCCTACCACCATTCTGTCCTCAACTTCATGCATGTAACTCCCACACACCAAGGCCTGCAGAACACATTCACCTGACCCTAAACCACCTCTGCCCCCAGCCATCTAGGATCACTTCTTCCTAAGTTGGCTGCCACCGCCACCTCCACGCCCACCTCCCAGGACCAACTCATACCCCGCCTCGCAGAACCAACTCCCACTCCACCTGCCAGGGCCATCTCACACGCCACCTCCCAGGACTACCTCACACTCCACCTCCCAGGACCACATCTGACTCTATACTATTGTCTGTGCCAGAACTAAAAACAAAATGAAAAAAACTATTTTAACTATCAGGTTTCATCCTCCAGATCCTTGAGCTTTTGTGGAAACCAGGTTTTGGTGAGAGCATAGCAGCGGCAGCTTAGACACTGGTCTCTCCTGGAATCAGACCTCCCTGAAACTGTCAAACCCCACTAAACCCTACACAACCCCTCTCATAGCAGGGACTTTGGCACACCATCTGCTCCAAGACTGCCCACGTGCTTGAGTAGAAACAAAGTCCTTGTGAAGATGAAGTGCCCTAGGCACTGTGCTGGTGACCAACCACAGTGGCTCAGAAAGGGTCGACGGCTGACACGTGTGGACAGTGGACAGGAGGCAGTGAGGCTGCAGCAGTGGTGGGTATCCTGTGGTCATCCAGGACAGTGATACTGGTGTCCAATGGTCAGTCTTAGAAAGTCTCCCCAGTCAGAGTGGAGATGTAGCATCCTGAGACCAAATGGCCCTGCTGTTGTTGATTACCTTCAAGTCGAGCATGACCCCTAGTGACCCTATGAACAAAAAGCTTGAAGCCCCTCTACAACTATCAACATTTATCAAAGTTCATAGAGTTTCAGGAGCCATGCTGTTTAGGAAGTGGATGCCACTCCTGCTTCCAAACTTGTCCTGGTATGTTTCTGTTGTTATGTGCCACTGAGTCACCTGCAATGTATAACAACCCTATGTACAGCAGCTCTGACCCCTTCCCTGTCCTGAGCCAGTCTCACTAATTCCGACCCTGCACTGTCCCTCCATCCTTCCTAGGACTAGTCTCTCCTGGGCACGTGCACAAAGTGAGTGAGGTAGAGCGTCAAAATGCTAGCCTCCAAGGAGAGACTTGGCTTCACCCTCTCCAAGACAGACCTATTTGTTGTCTTGGCAGTCTGTGGTATGTTCAAGACTCTTCTTCAGCACCACAATTCAAAGTCATCTATTCTTCTTCTGTCATCCTTAGTCATTGTCCAACTCTCTGAAGCATAACAAGTAATTGAGAAGACCATGGCCTGGATTAGGTGCACCTTTGTCTCTAGATTGACATCGTTCCTCTTTAGCACTCTGAGGTCCATGACAGTAGATTTTCCCAATGCAATTCGTCTTTTGATTTCTCATATTCCACATACCAATTATTAATTTCTTATTACAACTGTTTCTCCTCCTTTGTGTTTCCAAAATGGAGGGCCCCACTTCAGTAGTCTATTCTAAGTGTGCTCTGCTGTACATAGTGTTATAGCAGAGGTTGGTGGGCCAATCCCATGTTGCCTACTGGTGCAAAGAAAGTCTCTTGGAACACCACTCTCTTAATTTCTTATCATCTCTGGTTGTTTGGCCTCCGTATAAAATAATACTGTGGATCTGGCCCTTTGCAGGGGAGTACGGGCTTGGTCCAGCTCTAAGGTATTAATATTTCTCCAAGTCCAACTACTTGGATCCCGGAGTGTAGACAGTGGAGCATGGAGGCAACAGCAACAATCCAACCACTAGACAAAACCCCACAACTGGTTCAAAAAGGAACCTGAAACTGAAAAAAACTTTAACCTATCATATACTCCCAAATGACATCTGCCACTTCTGTACCACCAATATCCCCACCATTCAACTTAGGCTCCATCACCATACACCCACCCACTGCTGAGTCACTTAGCCACACCCCACCCACCCGACCACGCCTGCCAATGGACCACTCCCACCAGGGCCCCACTACGCCCATCACACAGCACTATCGCTGAGCCAAGCCAACCACGCTGCACCGCACCACTGCCCGCCTCGGCACCATCACTGTGTCACCACAGGACACCCACCACCACTACATTTTTCATTACTAGGGCATGTGATGACACTCATCACTGCTGTTGCCAGTCACATTCCTCACCACCACCTGTGTTACCACATGACACACTGTTACCGTGGGACCCTCAGTACCACCACTGCCTTATTATGTGACACACACTGACATCACGGCTGTGCTATTACATGACACCACCGCTTCTGTAGTATCACGAGACATTCAGCACCATTACTGTTGCCATGTGACACCACTGCTGTTGTTTTTTGTTGTTGTTATGTGCCGTGGAGACGTTTGCGACTCATAGCGACTCTATGAACAACAGCCCTAAACCCTGCTCTATCCTGTGCCAATCTCATTGCCTCTGACA